TCCTCCTCCTCCTCCTCCCTCCCCGCCCGGCGGACCCGCGGTTTAATCACATCCTTTTGAGGCGCAGCCCTGCATTTCGCACCGCATCCCCCCGGCCCAGCGCCCGTGGCCATTCCTGAGGTTGCCTTCAGCCTCCCTCTAGTGGATTGGCCTAAAATGGTCCCTCCACGGGCGATCCCGGAGCTTTAGAGCGGCTCCAAACTACAAATACCAGCAGCTCCAGCACCGCTGAGAGGGCCCAGGACCCACCTCTCCTAGAATAAACCTCTCCGCTTTATTCCTGCAAGCATTTCTAAAGATTTTTGCTTTTCGCGTATAGCCATAAAAGCCCACGGCGAGGAAAGCGTTTTGAAACATTCTGCTTGGATTCGCTATTTTTTTTAGCCGCTCTTTTATTTTTCCCGTGGTGGGTGGGCCCTTCCTGCCTCAGAGTGACGGTGACAGAAGGACCCAGACCTTTAATCCTGTTTCGCAGCAGGTTTAACAGGAGAGCGGCTGCAGCAGCCCGGGAATGACCATGGAGAAAATCCTGAAGGCAGAGCTGAACACCAACATTCTGAAGGCCGTGGGCAGCTCGGGGGGAGGATGTATCAGCCAGGGCCAAACCTATGAGACAGACAGCGGGCGGGTGTTCGTGAAAATCAACCACAAACCTCAGGTCAGTGCCAGCAGATCTTTGACTACTCCTGTGGTTGCATGTAGGGAGGTTTTCGTTGTTAACAATTCGGAGTTTTGCACTTTGAGGCTGACTTTTAATTTTTCCAGCTTTCAGTGATCTTTTAAAAGCTGGATCTGTTTTCTATCCAGTATCAGCACAGCAGGTTTGGTTAGTGTGAAATGAGGTGTAATGCGACATGATAACCCTCACCCTCATGGCAATTCCTGCAAAAAGGAGGCCACGCACAAAGCTGTCATTGTGGTACTTGGAGTTTGGAAAAGCCCAGAGCTGACTTTGCATTCACTGTGCTCTTTTTCATGTTCCAGTTGACAGGATCAATAGTGGGAGGGAGCAAACAGGGGCCAGTGCTAAAACTCATGTATTATCTTTAAAGCTGCAGAGGGTTCAAATGTCCCCGTTGCTTTTTGCATTTCTAGGAGTAAAATTCTTCAGGCCAAACTCTTGACTTTTCTATTACTAAATGGATACTCAGTTGCTTTTTCTAACACTGCAGTGCATCAGAAATTTGCATTATCAATATCAAAACCATCCTAAACTGCTGTGAAGAACAGCAGCTTTGCTTCAGAAACACAAAGCACAGGCTGAGTGTTTGTGCTGTCATCTCCATCAGTGGCCACTGACCTTGGGGAAAGGAAAACCAGTTTGAGGGTTCAGTCTTTTACCTCATTTAGCAGTGGCTACTTGGGGTTTTGGAGGAGTAGGTCTTGGGCATTATCCTCAGAGGTGCTGTTATATCTAAGTAGATTGGTGTCTCCATAAGCAGCTGGAAATCAGGGTGAAATGTGACATATCCTACTACTCTGGAATGAATTTAGGAAAAATAAGAAGTTGGGATTAAGGCACTCAAGTCTCCCTGTGTGGACTGAAGCCTTGCTGCAGCTCTGTCCTTTTATGAAGAAGAATTAACTCCTTTTCAGTCTGTAAAGGGGTTGTTGTTTTCCAAAGTAACTCATTGCAGACATCCATCGTTTAGCCCAGGGATATTCTTATTCCTTGACAGGCTAGAACAATGTTTGAAGGGGAAATGGCAAGTTTGGAAGCAATCCAGAAAACCAAGACTGTGAGAGTTCCTCAGCCCATTAAAGTGATTGACCTGCCTGGAGGAGGAGCAATGTTTGCCATGGAGTACCTGAAGATGAAGCACCTCAGCAAGTATGTCCATACATCTCTTTGTACTGTGTTTTGGGGTATATTTTTGTATATCTTGCAGTCAGTCAGAAAGCTTCATGAGCAGAGTTGCTCTGATCTCTCAGAGGTGGAGCTTCTCTCTGTCGACATCTGTGTTTGTTACAGATGATTTTGGTCCCTTTTTCTCTCATGAGATTTTTCATGGAGTTTCTTTTCCCAGCTCATCAGGTTTCTTTAACCCTCCAGGCTGCTCAGGTCTTTTCTCTCAGTAGAATCTTCCAGTATGATTTGAGTCATGATTAAGTTAAGATGACATGAAGTTCCATTTCATCTGTCAGCCAACCTGAACTTGGGATTCAGGGGTCACATGTTCTTGAAAACAGGGTTTCAGCACTTCACTGATGCATCCTGGGCCATATGGGAACATTGTCATGCCTCTTCTGGCAGTTGTTTGTCCAGCCTGTATATTTTTATTGGGACAATATTGGCAATTCCACAGCCTCCTCAAATAGTCCATTCCAATCCATCCCACTGTTCCTAGGAAGGATTTTCCAATATCTGTCCTCAGTCCTCCTGACTGTGATTTTAAACCCATTATTTTCTCCCTATTCTGGGCATTAGAAGAAATTAGCTGGCATCCCTGCAGCTGCTGTTAAGGGACCTGTGGAATATTTAACTGGTTTTTAGTTGTCTGTCTTCAGCATTAAGCAACCTTGACTCAGTCCCTGCCTTTGGCTTCTTTCCAGATTTACCATTCCCACTGCTGTTCAGCTGATCTGGAAGGATAAAGCCCAATAGTTGATACCATGTTCTGTCCTCAGCTGATAGTGAGACTGATAAGGAAGAGCCCCTGATTCTCCTGCCCTCTCTGCTCCTGTTTATACCACCTTGTGCTCTATTTACCTTTCTTGCAAGAACATTGACTTATGTCCATTTTATTACCTGTTACAGCCTGTGTCTTCAGAGCTGTTGTTAAGTCACTTGCCTGTTATGTGCTTGTGAAGTTGATTAAGGTTCTATGTTTGCTAAAAATATCCTTGTTCATATTTAATTGAGGGGTCTTTTTCCCCTGTGACTTGTCTACTTCCACTTTAATTTTGCTTTTCTTGATCCTACAGATATTCCTCAAAGCTGGGAGAGCAGATAGCAGAGCTTCATCTTTATAACCAGAAACTTGGAGAGAAGCTGAGGAGTGAGGGAAGCACAATTGGTAGAGTATTGATGTCATGTACTAAACCAAAAAGGGAGTAATTCCTTTGGCTGTGGTGCAGTGTTGCATTATAATTTTAATGATAATTAAAGTCAATAATGGAACAGTTTTGTGAGCTGTGTCCCCCCTGTCCTGCTTAAAGTTATTTTGTCCGCCTATTCCCTGAAATTAAGGTCTGTGTTTGCAAACTTTACCATGGAAGAGCCCCTAATATTTATTTTATTTTGTAGGAAAAGGAGCCGGTCGCTCTGAGTCCCAGTATGTGGACAAGTTTGGGTTCCACACAGCCACCTGCTGTGGTTACATACCACAGGTATGGTACATTCCATGGCTGGGAAAGCCGACAGGCACTTGGATGGGTCTGGAAACTCCTTGTTCCACTGGCCTCCAGCTTTGCTTTCCCTGTTCCATCCTGCCCAGGGGAACACGAGGACTGTCCAACACGTGTGCCTTGGTACAGAGCATGTGGCCAGCACGTGGATTGAGTGAGAGTTTGAAATGATGGGGTGGCTCTTCAGCTTGGTGATACTTAATCAAATCATTATCCCTTCCCACACCATGTCTTGGTTTTGTTTTTATTCACCCCCTACTATATGGATCTCAAATGGCAAACCCCAGTGCTTTAGGAGAGCCTCATCATGTAACACGTCACATCAGACATGGAAAGGGCTCTCAGAGATAATTCCACCATTTTCTGGCTCTGTACATGCCAGGATTTCATTCTGTGGTTTAACTGATTGAACTTTCAATATCTCAAACTCTTTGCTAAATACAACTTTTCACCAAAATAGAAACGAGTTACCCGGTAAAAGTGAACAAATATTTCTGCATTTCCAGAAAGGTTTGAAACATGATATGGAACAACAGACATGATCTCACCATAAATCACCAAATACCTTTAGAAAATGGGACTGAATGAAAACAGCCAGAACCTCAACTTCTGTCTCATGTTAAAGAGAGCCCCACCTAAGTGAGGGAGGAAGCAGCATTCCCCAAAGAACAACCAACAAAGCACCTCAGGACACTGTGCGTTGGTCACACCGACACGGTCCAGGCCATTGTGTGATCATCAAACATGGATCTCTAGCTATTATCAACTCTGACTGTACATATATTAAAATTGTGTGTCACAAACCTCTGTGCTGGATTTTCCAGGTGAACGAGTGGCAGAGTGACTGGCCATCCTTCTTCATCCGTCACCGACTCCAGGCTCAGCTGGATATGATTGAAAGGGACTATGGAGACAGAGAAGCCAGGGAACTTTGGTCACAGCTGAAAGTACGAACCATGTCTTAAATCTGTTGTTTAGAACGTCAGAAAATGTGCATCAGTGGGTTTGTAAAGGTGTTTTATAAGAGAATTACCTTGCTTAGGATGAGCAGTGGTGAGTGGACAGTGGGTCCAACAACACTGTCAGCTGAACAGGATTCCTGTTGCTCTTTCATTTTTTTATAGATAGTGAAAATAAACCTGTAATTCAGCACTGACATTTATTTCTGATAATGATAATATGGTAAATCCTATCTAAGAGCTTGATGTTACAAACTGGGTGAGATTCTTCTGCCTGGACAGGTTTTTTTTACATGGTCCAGGTTCACAGCCAGGCTAGGTCAGGCCATGCTCTACCCTCAGGGATCACCAGGGATGTGTTCCTCTGCAAGCTCCACATCACAAATTTATTCTTTAATTCTGCTTCAGTGGTGTAGATGTTTCACTGCTGCCATTTTTGCCACTGAAATGTTTTAATTTAAACGACATTCATTTTATATTTCTCTGACAGCCAACACTATCCACGTGTAGAAATAATACATTAGTATTAGGTGTTGATACTAGACTGTGATAAATGCTTTGCTAAGCTCTGTCAAGAACGAATCCAGAATATTTATTACTGGCAGTCCAGGTTTGTGCTTGTAGCCATCAACTTCCCAGGCACTCCATGGGGGCAGCATTTGGCCAGCTCAGACTCTTACGTCCTACAGTACTTTATTTTATGTAATATTTTCTTCATAACACTTTAATTGTTGCCTGCTTGTCCTTTTACAGCCAAAGATTCCCGAAATGTTCTGTGATGTGGAAATCGTTCCCTCTCTCCTGCACGGGGACCTGTGGGCCGGGAATGTGGCTGAGGACGAGTCCGGGCCCATTATCTTTGACCCCGCCTCCTTCTACGGCCACTCGGAGTTCGAGCTGGCCATTGCCGGCATGTTTGGGGGCTTCAGCAGCTCTTTTTTCTCTGCCTATCACAGCAAAATCCCCAAAGCTCCAGGATTTGACAAACGAAACAAGCTGTATCAGCTCTTTAATTACATCAACCACTGGAACCATTTCGGGACGGGGTACAGGGGCTCTACCCTAAACATGATGAGAAAACTCCTGAAGTAACCAGGTAGGTTTGAGAAATTCTGACATATTCTCTTAGGAATGGGCAGCCCCTGCTCATCCAAAGTACCACAAACTCGGAATTGGTGGTGAAACACCTGACATGGAATAGGCTTAATGCACTTCTGAGCCTCACTAATTAAGAGCAATTGTGTAATTTTTAACTTGGGCACTAGTTTCCCAGCACAGATTCCTCCCCTGCTGAAGGAAAGGGCTGTAATGTTTGTGGAGGCCCCACTGGGTTGTAAAAGCAGCAGGACAGTCAGCCTGACTCTGCTGTCTCACCTCACAGCTGCTGTTTTCCCACAGTTGTTCCACAGCAGCATCTTCCCACTCCTGCTGCTCCATCAGCAGTTTGTTATGGAGAGCTGCAGTTGTGGGACTGTGGTGCTGGAAGTAACAATGAGTTCCTTACTGTTCTGTTTACTTTTCTGTCTGTGTTCCTGTCCCTTTTCCCATGAATATTTCTATAGTCTTCCCTTTTCCTTTCCTTTCCCATGACAAGTGTCCTAATCCAAAGTTCCAGTCAGATTCTGTGAATCTGAAAACATTCTCTTTTTGATTTAAGGAGCAGACGAGGCCCTTTGGCTGCACTTGCAAACATATGTAATTAATAATATTTCTAATATTTAATTTAATGTAATTTACTCTCAGGCTTTTGTTTTTCTCTTGCTGTGAGAACTGAAATTCCAGTGGTATTTCCTAAAAAAGGATGTCTAGTTCCTTGGTAATTAACTGTATGATCAGAAGTGGGTTGTTACCACCTGAGTTTGATGACATTTCATAGGTTTAGTGTGATGTTTCAGTGTGTTGTACTACAATAGTAACATATGTAAATAACTTTGTAAAAAGACAGCAAAATGCGGGAGGGAAGCTCCATATTTTGGTGACAAGAAGCACCTGTGGCTGCTGGGTTGGTCAGTGCTTGATGTATTTTCAGTTTTAGAAGAGGAGGTGCAGTGGGCAAAGCTGGTCTGTTGTGCCCCCGCTGGGTTATGGAAGGAACAGTGTCAAATCCACTGGCTTTGTGAGGGTTTTGTTGTCCCTCACTGCTTTATTTTTACAGAAAACGTGGGCAGTGGGAATTTGGGGAGGAAACTGTTCAGCAAAGACAGTGGTTACGATGTGAGCTCCAGTACATTAGTGAATCTGTGGGGTTTTAATGGGAGAAAGTGGTAAAGAAAGTAAAAGTAAGTGCAGTTCCACAAATATTTATGTAAATTAGAAGATTTGGCTAAGAATGACCTCACTATTTAGGCTTCTGACTGTTGTCATGACAAGTACTAAAATATAATATTCAAAATGCTAGAATATGTTTAGATTTAGACTTTTTTGCACTTCAAATGGTTGTGCTATAAAGATTTTATAAAGTTTAAAGTTCGATGTTGTAATTGGTACAGTTTAAAACAATGCACTTTGCTCTCTGTAAATAGGGTACAAACAGGGAAAAATTGTTACTTCCTTCAAATCAGAGGGATCTGTCACAGCTGGTTATAAAACTTAATAGAACTGGAACAGTGGAAAAGTGGAATAGTAGAGTTAGGACACAGCTGGAATTGTGGCTGATGGCTGGAAGGTTTGGGAAGGAGCAGAGTGCATGTGCACTGGTGTTTATGGATGTGAACAAACCCACCTGTGTTACACTGCTGTGAACTTAAACTTCTTCTCAAATAAAACACTTGCCTTGCAGAAACCAGGTGTTTGGTGTACCTGTGTCTGGTGACTGTGGTTCGTTTCAACGAATTTGAGCCTGAAGATGAGGTATTTGGGTGTGGATGGAGCTGCTGGATACCAGGAAAGGGCAGCTGCCTTCCCGACATCCTGGCCAGGCTGAAGTGCCTCCCTGCATTCCCTGTACAGTCAGTGGAGCTGTAGTTGCAGCTTTCAGGGTTCAAATGTTGTTTCCAGAATTTTGGGAGGTTTAGGTTGTTAACCAGGTTAATGTTGTATGCAGTGTCTTGGTGTGGGTTGGGTGAGGAATGGAGGCCATGGATAAATAACAGCACCATCCAGATGCCTCACCTGCTCCTTGTGCAACCCATGTCCCCATCCCAGATCCTTCCCCCTGCGGTCCCCATCCCTGTTCCCTTCCCCAGGGGTCCCTATCCTTGTCCTCACCCCTGGGTCCCCTTCCCTGAGTGTCCCCATGCCTGGGAGCCCATTCCCACATGCCCATCCTTGCTGCCATCCCCAGGACCCCATAGTTGGGTGTCCCTGTCCCTGGTGAGTGCTCCCAGGCTGAGTGTCCCTAAGGTGGGTGTTCCCAGGGTGGCTGTCCACAGGCTGGATGTCCCTGTCCCCAGTCTGGATGTGCCCATCCTCGTGGGTGTCCCAGGGTTGGTGTCTCCAGGCTGGGTGCCCCTGTACCTGCTGGGTGTGTCCCCAGGGTGGGTGTCTCTGCTCAGTGTTCCTGTCCCCAGGCCAGGTGTCCCTGTC